ATTGTGACTGTACTAAGTAATTTACACTACATATTACGTTTTCAGTTATAGTGCAAGTTCAGAGTTTTCAGGTATCACACACGATGCTACAGCTTTTGTTGGTTGCGTTGCTGGCAAGGTTGGTAAGCCTAAGTTGTTACAGAAAGTACCAGTACAGTTTACATGTTAAAGAATTAAGTTGAATGTATTATATTACCAATTTCCAAGGTTATTGACTACACTGCTTATATTGTTTTAGTGTTGTGCATGTTTTGGCCCCAAAGGTGGAAGAGGGCATTATTGCAGCAGAAATTGTAAAGCTGTCAATGGTGGTACTATCATAACTGGCAAGGTTTACGTTTGGTTCTGGATACGAACACGAATGCCGAAACGATTGTGGAAAAGATGTATGGAATTTAAGATGAAGACAGAAGCTGGGAAATCTGAATCTTATTATATTGATAGAGCAACTGGTACTGCCCATAAGGTATTGTTTACTAGTAACAGACACTTTCTGGATTTGCATGTTTGTTATAAATGGCATCATGTCGGAAAAGTACCAATTGGAAGCGTCTATTTATCCAAAAACGAAATAAGTAATAGAATTAGGTCAAAAAATATCAAAACGTATTGATACGAAAATTTGTGGGACTAATGTGCATTGCCCAAGGACAAATTGATTAAATTGGGGGTTAAATTTGGATCAAAATTGTCTTACTTTGCCGGGCAGAATTACACTGCATGATAACTAGCCCATTGTATAATACACGACAGTTTAACTTAATTTACTGGCGTAAGTATGCTGCAGTCTCGTGAGATTCATGAAATTTTAAAAAAATATATTTTTAAGAACTACGAAATTCGTTCTTTTACAGGGTACATGTTCTAAACAATTTCAGGCATTCCTTAATGAAGGTGTAAGTATACTGTATCAATATGGCATTTTTTAATACTTTTATCTTTCGAAATCGTACGTTGGAAATTACCATACTTCAATCTGAAATTTACTTTCTTCAATAATATTAGCTTACCGCATATTTTAACCAAAACAAAACCAACAAAACCCTCATTCAATCTCTTTCAGACACTCGTAGTTAAAAACAAAGAAAGCCTCAACAACATTCCACCACTACCAGGATTGCTCTCATATCGTGAGGATAACGAAAAACTTTATGTGAAGAAAGGAAATAAATGGGATGCTTTTGGCAGTGAAAATGAGGTAGGCGTTGTCTTA